GAACTCAAATTTGTGTAAGTTCTAGTCCAAAAGCTGGTAGGCTTAGACCTAGGTAGAGCTGATGTTTCAGTTTGAGCCTGAAAGCAGGAAAACACCTCAGTGCTGCAGTACATGTAGTCAGGTAGGAGGAGCTCCCCTTACTTAGGGGGAGAGTCAGCCCTTTATTCGGGCCTTCAGCTGATTGATTGGCTGAGGCCCACCCACACTAGGGAGAGCAATGTGCTTCATCAGTCTACCGATCCTGATTTCCATCTCATCCCTAAACACCTTGCAGACACACCCAGAGTAATGTTTGACCACGTGTCTGGGCACCCGTGGCCCAGCCAGGCTGAACACGTGTTGGTCATCACAGAGCAAGAGCTGCTCTTGCCTCCCAGGCTGCTGGGCACCAGGGAGGCGCTGAGAGCCGCAGGCCCAGCGTGGGCCTGGGGCAGTGGTGAGGACCTCCCTTCACACCTCTGCTCCTCAGTTACTCAGGGACCTGGGGCTGCTCAGCTCCCGCCCACTCTTGGGGACACTCTCCCCTCTACTGGAGCTCAAGAATGAGGTCAGATTTCATTTTGTTTGAAGCTAATATGATTTGGGGAGGAGCAGCCTTCTTTCAGAAAAAGAAAACAGTGGAGGTGAGGGGTCATTAGCCACCTCATAAATGTCTTTCCTCGAGACCTCCCAGGCCTAGCTTCCAGACCTGGGCCAGGTGGTGGTGGTGTGGGGTCAACACTGCTCATCTCTGGCCCCAGGAATCCTCTTCCCCTCAGTCTCATCGTTGTCTTCTTGCTCTTCTTCCTGTCCCTCCAGGGAAAGTGATATTTTCAGTCTTTACTAGTCCACTTAAAAATTAGGGTGGTGCACCGCTCTGGGGTACGTGATCTCACCTGTTCATGATGTGGTGCCCACAACTTGTCACCTCTACAAGTGATGCCCACTGGTGTTTTCTTTTTTTTTTTATTGCATTAAAGTTGGTATATAATCTTATATTGGTTTCAGGTGTATAGCACGGGGGTTCAACAGTTGCTCATATTATTAAACTATACCCCCTCTAGGGCAGTTACTATCTGTCAACATAGGAAGATGTTACAGAGTCATTGGCTCTGTTCTCCATGCTGTACTACCATCCCCATGACCAATTTGTATTATGATTGAGACTTTTTGTGCCCTTTTATCCCCCTCACCCTCTTCACCCAACCATCCCAACCTTCCCCCATGGTAGCCGCCAATCACTTCTCAGTGTCTATGAGTCTACTGCTGTTTTGTTCATTTTGTTTTGTTTTGGTTTTAGATTCCATAAATAAGTGAAATCATATGGTATTTGTCTTTCTTTCCCTGGCTTATTTCACTGAGCATAATACCCTCTAGATCCATCCATGTTGCTGCAAATGGCAGGATTTTTTTCATTTTTATGGCTGAATAATACTCCATCATGTGTATATACTACTTCTTTATCCATTTGTTCTATCGATGGACACTTAGGTTGCTTCTATATCTTGGCTATTGTAAATAATGTGGCTATAGACATAGGGGTGCTTATCTTTTCGAATCAGGGATTTCATTTCCTTTGGGTAAATTCCTAGAAGTGGAATTACTGGGTCTTATGGTATTTGTATTTTCAGTTTTTTGAGGGACCTCCATACTGCTTTCCACAGTGGCTGCACCAATTTACATTCCCACCAACAGTGTAAGAGGGTTCCTATTTCTCTACATCCTCGCCAGCACTTGTTATTTCTTGTCTTTGGATAGTGGCCATTCTGACTGGTGTGAGGTGATATCTCATTGTGCTTTTGATTTGCATTTCCCTGATATTTAGCCATGTGGAGTGTCTTCACATGCCTTTTGGTCGTCTTTATGTCTTTGGAAAAATGTCTGTTCAGGTCCTCCACCCATTTTTTAATTGGGTTATTTGTTTTTTGGGTGTTGAGGCATATGAGTTCTTTATAGTTTTTGGATGTTAACCCTCCACCCTTCATCAGATAAATCATTTACGAGTACACTGTAGGTTGCCTTTGGTTCTGCTGATGGTGTTCTTTGCTGTACAGAAGTTTTTGGTTTGATGTAGTCCCACTTATGCATTTTTGATTTTGTTTCCCTTGCCCAAGGAAATGTATCCAGGATAAAAGTGCTCATGTTTATGTTCAAGGGATTTTGCCTATGTTTTCTTCTAAGAGTTTTATGGTTTCATGTCTTACATTAGGTCTTTGATCCATTTCAAGTTGACTTTTGTGTATGGAGTTGGACAGTTATCCAGTTTCATTCTCTTGCATGTAGCTGTCCAGTTTTCTCAACACCAGTTGTTGAACAGACTGTCTTTTCCCCTTTGCGTGTTCATCCCACTGTGCTCAGATGGGCCAGCGCAGAGCAGAATCACCTGGGACATGTCAAAATGCAGTCACTGTGGGATGGCACCTCTGAACCTACCTCCCTGGGACCTCCTGCACCCCTGGGTGTGAGGACCTCTGCATTGCTGGGTGCAGAGATCCTTGGTGTCATCCTTTTTGCATTCCCATGATGCTATCTGCTCCTGCAGCTGGTGGGGTTGGGGGTTCTCCCAAGATCTGTGATGATGGCTCTGGAACAAGTGTCCTGAAGGGCCACCCCAGCCCTCTGGACTGCCTGCTGCACAACCTGAGTCCCCGTGGTCTGGAATTCCCTCCTCTGGCCCCACCTGTCACATCACACCCACCCTTCAAGAACAAGCTGAAATACTACATCCTCCACGCTGCCCGCACAACTGGCTTGGCCCCTTGCCAGTTCTCTCTCACTCTGGGCCAGGGCCCCTGGGGACGTGACCTTGGTTGTGTGCTTTGACTCCAGGTGCTCCGTCTGGCTCAAGGTTGGACTTGACCATAGCCATCTGCTCTGGATCTAGAAGGTCCTCCTCACCAGCCCCTTGAACTCAAGTTTCCAGACTGTCCCTTTAGCTTTCCAGCCCCTGGGGACATGGACTACTGATCTCTTTGTCTCCAGGCCCTGCAGCCTTAAGTGAGGAGTCCTGCACACCTGGCCTGGGGAGGGACCCTCTGTATGACTGGGAGGCGGTTAGGATGCTCAGTTCCAGGTTCCCAGCAGACAGCCCTCTCCCTCCCTGAAGGCTCTTGCTCTGTGCTCTTACTAACTTGTTTTACTGTAGTTCACACGTGCCCAGTGTGTGATCTGTGGACTGCGCTCTGGGCTATTAGGAGGGCTGTTCCCCTGGCCTCCTGGGCACTCCAGCCCGAAGAGGTGTGGCGACCTGGCCTGGGGCTGGAGTCGCAGCCTGATACCTGCAGAGGAGCCTTTGCAGGGCGGGAGGTGGAGAGCAGGGGATGACTGCCACCTTCTGGCTTGCCGCGATCTATAATTCATGGGCAGTACTTAGCGACTGCAGTTTTGAGGCTCTGTATCTGGGTCTGTATTACTTATAGCTTTAAAGAGCAAGGCCTGAAATGCAGAATCTGCTAAAGAAACTGCTGTTCCATTACAACTGCCTGGCCTCATGCCACAGCCTGGTCCTTGATGCGTCTGGAAGGTGGGGCTTCTCTAGCAGAGATGGTGCCTGTCCTTGGCTCTGTCCATGGGGCTGCTTTATGTCAAGGGCTTCTGCATCCCAGCCAGCCTGGGAAGGCTAGAACCGGCGGTACCTACATTCCTTTCTAGAAACATGCTCTTCCGGGCTCTGTCCCCTGTTGGTCCTCAGTGCCATCCTTGAATCCATCTCCGGGGAAGGTTGTATCCCTGGTCCTTGTAGCTTGATACATCCAGACTCAAAGATGCAAATGGCTTGTCAGTGGGGATCTTGGGGTGTAATTTCTGGGGGATTTGTTTCTTCGTCATTTCCTGGAGTCAGGAAGTGTGTTCCAACTGCAGGTGAAAACAAACAACTCAGGAACCTCGGCCAGTCGGCCCTCCACTTGCTCTGCCTTCTGGGTGCTATTTGGCTTCCAGCCAGAGACCAACGCAGCAGGCGAGCTGAGTGACCATCCCTGGGGATGGAGACCCAAGCGAAGGATCCTGAGAAAAGGCACTTTGGGGACTGAGAACTTCAGTTCACTCCAGGCAGCCACCTGAGGAAGTGCAAACTTGCCCGAGGAAGGAAGCAAAATAGAGAAACAGCATGTTTCTCTTGCGTTTGGTCTTTGTTTCTTTTGAAAATGTGTTGTGGAAGAAAATGTTGTTTGGTCTGCCTCACCTCTCCCCTGCCAAAACAAACTATGTGTCTCAGCCCTGCAAAAAAAATAATCTCACAAAGAAAGAATGAGGGACAGAGACTTTGCAGCACCTGATGGTGGCTCGGACGTGCTCTGGCCCCATGTTTGCCTCGTACAGCCAGTCTCAGAGGCTGGTGAAGCCCAGCGGGATGGGAGCTCTTCAGCAGCTGAGAAGAACAGGGACTGGACCAGGTTGGCCTCTAGAGACTCAGCTTGTTCTGGAAGGGTCCATCACTGCTCCATTTCTTTCACGGTGAATATATTTGGAACTGAATTTTAACTGAATGAAATTTCTGCCTTTTTTGCCATCAAAATAACCAACCTTTCTTCTTTTCACTTGGTTGGTGTCTTTTCTCCCTGGTCCCTCTGTCCTCTCACCCAGGCTGCCACGCTGAAGACACGGACATTGAATTGAGAATTGAGGGATTTCTTCCCTGTGTTAAATTCTTTAAGCACAGGCCGCAGACCCCATTACACAGAGAACATAAGGGCTATGAGTCCACCGAGCCTCTGCCCAGAGCTCTGGGCGCTTTCCTAGCCCATTAGGCCAGAAAGGATTCGTGGATGTTTGTGTGCTGTTCCTACTGTTGGTGGGTCAACCATGCAGTGGAATTTGTCTCAATCCCACCCATTTTAGAGACGAGGAAAGTGAGGCTGGTGGTGGAGTTCGCATACTCCACCAGGGTTAGGTAGGTGAGCAGTAAAGTGGCTCTGCGGCACTTCCTCGTCCTGCTGGTGACTTCAACCCATGAGCAGATGTTTGAGCTGCCAGTGAGGCGTGTTTGGAATGACGCTATTCTTTGGTTTCTTCTTTAATAGCAACTCCCGAGGAAGAGAAGGATCATTTTTGGTAAATCAAGCGCAGAACGTGATACTGCCCAGTGACACATGCTGACAGCACCTTGGAACAAATTCCCTCTTGGAAGCCACCCTGTGGCTTAGCTTTCAAACCCAAGGTTCATCTTACCCAGGAAAAAGTGAGTTACTTGATTTCTTAACATATAACATTAACACGGATGATCCTGGCTTTGTGGAGAGTGACAGAGGTGGGTGAACAAGAGATAAGAAGATCAGACAGGAGATTTCAAAAAGTAACCTAAAAAAAGAAAAATAACCACCACCACTCGCAGGGACAGAATCCCAAGGTACAGTTGTCACCCTTATCTGGGGATCCTGTTACCCGCTGCCCACAGGTCAGGAAGCACATGATCCCCTTTCTGCCATATTGTCAGAAGGTCAGTAGTAGCCTGACACCATGTCACAGTGCCTGCGTCATGCACCTCACTTCTCATCCTGTAGGCATTTTGTCATCTCACGTCACTATCATAAGAAGGGCGAGTACAGCACAAGATATTTTGAGAGAGAAAGGTACCACATTCCCATAACTGTTATTACAGCCTATTGTTAAAATTGTTCTATTTTACTATTAATTATTGTTGTTAATCCCTTACCTTTCCTAACTTACAAATTGAACTTTATCATAGGTATGTACATATATAGGCAAAAACATAGTCTATATAGGGATTGGGACTATCCACAGTTTCAGACATCCACAGGCGGTCTTGGATTGTAATCTCTGGATAAGGGGGGAGATTGATGTATATAATTGTGCAAATTAGGCAACTGGCTTTGCTTTTTCCTGGGCATGATAAAATCGTCCTTTATTCAATCAGAGAAGAATGCAAATGGTCCACACATTTAGATCTAGAACATGTGGTTTCCTGTCTTGTGGTTTCTCTAGCTGAACCTCATTATAGCATCAGTAAGAGCACAACGAGAAGGATCTAGGGAGACATCTGGTCCCATAACCTTCTAGATACGAATCAGAATCTACCAGCAGTGGAGAGAGGGCTAGCTAGCCTTAGAGTCAGGACCAGTGCCGGGTCTCTGTGCTCCTGATCTTATGCCACAGAGTGAACGACACTGCCTGTTGCCTGTGCCTCCCTGTGGAACCATAGCACTCCCCTTCTGCGTGCAATGAGATTCCACAGTTTTTGGCACACGAGCCACAAAACATGGGTCTCAGCCCCATCTCAGCCTGTCAGTCTCCTGGCTGAAAGTTAGACATGACCTCCTGCTATTGAGGTCTAACCATTTGATTTTGTTCCTTTCAGATGGCTCACACGAAGAGGCAATTGCTGTACGTTTCCCTGGTGGTCCTGGGAGCCCTTTGTCTGTACTTCAGCGTGTATACTGTGAGTCCTTATAAAGAGCCATTTGCTTTCAAGAAACCAAGCGAGAACTTCCTTCAGCTTCCGGACATAGACTGCAGGCGGGATCCCCCCTTCCTCGTCCTGCTGGTGACTTCAACCCATGAGCAGACGTTTGCTCGCATGGCCATTCGGAGCACCTGGGGAAGAGAAAAGAGCGTGTGGGGAAGACACATAAGAACATTCTTCCTCCTGGGAACCACCTTCAATAAAGACTTGTCGAGAGCGGTGGCCCAGGAAAGCCAGCAACACCGCGACCTCATCCAGAAGGACTTTGTGGACACTTACTTCAACCTGACTCTGAAAACGATGATGGGCATGGAGTGGGTCCACCGCTACTGTCCCCAGGCGGCTTTTGTGATGAAAACAGACTCTGACATGTTTGTCAACATTTACTATCTGACAGAGCTACTTGTGAAGAAAAACAGAACCACTAGATTTTTCACTGGCTTCTTAAAATTGAATGAATTTCCTATTAGGCGAAAGTACAATAAGTGGTTTGTCAGTAAAGATGAATATCCGTGGGACAGGTATCCACCCTTTTGCTCTGGCACCGGCTATGTTTTTTCTAGTGATGTTGCAAGTCAGGTGTATAACATTTCTGAAAGCATCCCATTCATTAAACTAGAAGACGTCTTTGTGGGGCTCTGCCTCGCGAAGCTGAAAGTCACCCTGGAGGAGCTGCACTCAAAGCAGACCTTTTTCCCAAACGGTTTACGCTTTTCCACGTGCCGTTTTAAGAAGATCGTGTCCTGTCATTTTATCAGTCCTCACAACTTGCTGAGCTATTGGCAGGCTCTGGAAAATTCCCTGGGAGAAAAGTGTCCACCTTTCTGAGGGGTGCCTGGCAGCGTGTCTGGATACATTTCTGACGACCCGTGGTGACTGGTTGGAAAGCTCTCCGGGTGGCATTCCGAACTCATCCGGGGCAGGGAGGGAGAGAGAAAGGAGGACCGTGAGGTTGTCTGAATGAGAAGGCAAGCTCCAACGAACTGCCAGATTATTCCACTCCGTGCCCAAGCAATGTAGACGCCACCTCTTGAGTACCTCCGCTGTGGCACTGTGACGTGCGCCTACATTTTCTCATTTCAGCATCCACAGGTGTGGTGGGTATTATCACCCCCATCTTACCCAAAGTGATAGCAGCTTATCTCGAGGTACAGGAACTTGTCCCAAGGCTCCTGGCCAACAAATGTTAGGGCAGGGGTGAAAATCGAGCACTACGAGAATCCAGCCTGCAGCTGCTCTGTGCTGCCTGCCTTGGAAGAGACAGTAGTGAGGAAGGCTCAAGGCTCCTGGCATCCTTCAGTCCCTTCCTAGAGTGCCCTCCTGCTCAGCTCCCAGTTCCTGTGCCTTTTAGTGCTGGCACTGGGGTGGGCCCACGTGCCCCCAGCTCCCTTTATTCACTGTGATGGATCTGGCGGCACACGGAGTCCCTGCTGGCAGCCTGGCACTCATCTCACTGCCGAGAGCATCCCAGATGATATCCACTAAGAAACAAGCTCTGGAGAGAAGTCAGTTTTTTTAGATTTGGCTTACAAACCACTGTAAAGCCTGGCCTGTTGTTTCGACCTCTTAGCCACACTGCTGGCCTCCCCAAGAGCATGGCCTCTCCTCTGAGTCACCCGTGACGTTCCTGTTTGTCTGCTCCCAGGGCCCTGGGTCTGCACTTCAGGTCTCCACGTTCAAACTAGAGAGTGATTGGGCACCAGGCTGGGTCTGTGAAGGATTCTGGGAGATCTAGGAGTTTAGTTGGATTTTTCTTAGGTGGCCAAGGACCTGTAGGACACTGAATGCCGAAGTGAGCTCCGGTCAAGGAGGAGCCGTCTCCCATGTCCAGACTCATCTGCTTTGAATTTCTCAGATGGCCAAGCAATGACAGTTTTGTGGTGTGGAGTTTCATGTTCAGCTTTCTGCTCCCTTTGAGGTTTGTATGAGCCAGTCTGCAGGGTCCTGTGGAAGCAGGGCACCTCTCTGGAGGGCCTTTGCACATTCAGCTGCTGCTGCATTACATGCAAAGTCATCTGGCTCCTGATCGTAGGAAGGATTGCTTCTCATTTTTTTTTTTTTTACTGGACTTGACTTTACCAGCACTCCACACAAAGGCCCCTCATGTGGCTGGGTAACTTGTAATGTTGGACTAAGCCTATACCTGAACTCAGGAAGAGATGTTTGCTGCAGAATAGTCATGGCAGTGCTGAATTGCAAAATAAGGTTTGGCATCCTTGTGTGCACAGTCTCTCATGTCTGGATGGAGCTGCTTCTTTGCAGATGTGTTTCCTTATCCTGGCTGCTCTGAACGTGCTGGATCGTGTTCAGAGCAGCTTCCTTCTCAGGTGGGAAAGTCAGGGACTGAGCTTGTTTTCTGAAGCCCAGACTTTGCGAGAGCCATAACCCTTGGTCCCACAGGATGCGCTGCCCCTGATTCTGAAAGTAACAGAGGGCTTTGAGAGGGGAGTTTGTGTGGCAGTAGGTCTGGGTCTGTGCTTAGATGTCTAGTGTGCGTGTCCAGGTGGCTCCCGGGCTGGGGATGGGCTGAGGTGTGGCCGATGCAGGATGCGGTCTTACCATCAGCCTGATGCCCTGAGCTACAGGGGCCCCTAAGCACAGGTGGGCTCCACCTACAACCTCTGTGTGATCTTAGAGCGTTTTTGGCAAAACACATTTCCCCCTACTCTATTTCTTTATACAATGAAGAATTTTTTTTTTTCTCTAGGGAAAATAATTTCATGACTATAGAACTTGAAAGGACCTCAGGACTCCTTCAGTCCCGTCTTCAGCTCATGGCTGCTTATCCTGGTGGCTGAGCCAGACACCCTGCAGCCATCTTGACTCCTGTGCACCAGGAAACACCACGTGCTCTACCTTCAAATTAGATCCAGAAGCCACCCACGCCCCTCACAGCCACCGCTGCCACCTCCCCCCCACTCCCCCCTGTGTTCTTGCCACAGCTTCTGCCTGGTCTCTTGGCTCCCGTCACTGTATTCCTTTAACCTGCTCCCCAAACAGCATCCAGAATGCTCTTTGAGAATATAGATCGAAGCATCTCACTTTTCTGCTCTAAACCCTCTAGTGGACCCCCATTTCTGGGTAAAAGCCATATCCTTAATGTTATTACCTGCGCTGTTATTCTGTAATCTCAGCCCTTCACGCTCCCCTCCCCCAGCCTGCTCTGGCCTCCCTGAACAGAGTACTCTGCCAGTCCCACTGGCCTTCCTGCCTCTTCTGAAACATTGCAGGCATGCCCCACCCACCTCAGGGCCTTTGCACTGGCTGTTCCCTCTGCCAGGAAGGCCCTTTCCTCAGATATTCTCATGGCCCAGCCTTCTTGAAGTCTTTGGTCAGATAGCATCTTCTTAATGAGGCTGACTGTTCTGTGAAATTGCAGCTTGCCCCACCCCACATTCCCCTGCCTTGTTAAAGCATTTCCACTGCACTTACCAATTTCTAACTAAGTATTTATGTCTATTTATTATAATATATCTCTTTTGCTTTACTGTTTCTTTTTTAACCCACATGAGCAAAAGCTTTGTGCGGGAAGGATCTTTGTTTTCTTCACTGAGGTACCCCAGATTCTCACCGCAGCCCTCAGCACAGAGTAGATGTACAGAGTAGACTGTTGAATGAAACTGAAATGATCTGCATGGGGGATTAGAGGGGAAAAGGAGAATCTAGACTAAATACTGAAGGGTTTCTAAAGCACAACCAACACCGTGGTCTCAATGGGTCAGAAAACAGGAAAATGGGTGTATTTTTACCGAAAACAGTGGCCTGGAGACCTAGAAATGCTACACATTGGTGCTGCTTGACCCCACACCCCCTGTTCTGTAATGGAAAGCCTGATACACTGAGAAGTAGTGAAATTCTGTAAACCACTCCACATGCCTGCCCTGCGGCCTCTCCCGAGGCCAACCTTGTCTCATCTACACCCCCCTTGACACCTTCCTCCATCTGTTTTGATGATTGTAGAAATCTGCTTCTTTTCCTCAACTGTATCTAACTTTTGGTGCTGAGGGAATGAAGTTGTCAGGAAATCTACATGGGATCCTCAAATAATTTTTAGTCCCATTGTCATCCATTTATAAAGAACTACGTACAGATGCTCCCTTGGGACCATAGAAACCACACCAGGCTGGCATCTACTCTGTGCCAGGAGCTGTGGTCAGAATCTGGGGTACCTCAGTGAAGAAAACAAAGATCCTTCCTGCACAAAGCTTTTGCTAAGGTGGGTTAAAAAAGAAGCAGTAAAGCAAAAGAGATATATTATAATAAATAGACATAAATACTTAGTTAGAAATCGGTAAGTGCAGTGGAAATCAGGAGTAGGAAGCAATGACTGGGAACAAATCATTCAAATATGACCACAAATAGAAACCGCAGAACGTTTTAACTTTACAAACGGCAACACCTGCCTTGCATTTGATTACTGAAAAATGTTCCCTTGCTGTCCAGTCACAAAGATGTCTAAGGTGAGTTCCATCAGTCATCTGGGGGAAAAGCCCAATGTTTTTTTGTAGCCCAGCTACTTATTGTAGATGGCCCTTTTGTCCACAGGTCTAATTGATTATCCTAAACCTCCAGCTCCCTTTAGCTCCTCCTTAGGAGCCTTTACCTACCTTCCAAACACTGTGTTTCTTTTTTTTTTCTTTTTTTTCTTTTGGTATCATTAATTTACAATTACATGAGGAACATTGTGGTTACTAGACACCGCCCATCATCAAGTCTCCCCCACATACTCCATTACAGTCACTGTCCATCAATGTAGTAAGATCCTATAGAATCACGACTTGTCTGCTCTGTGTTGCACAGCCCTCCCCGTACACCCCTACATTATGTGTGCTAATCGTAATTCCTCTTTTTTCCCCTTGTCCCTCCCTTCCCACCCATCCTCCCCAGTCCCATTCCCTTTGGCAACTGTTAGTCCATTCTTGGGTTCTGTGCGTCTGCTGCTGTTTTGTTCCTTCAGTTTTTTTCTTTGTTCTTATCCTTCACAGATGAGTGAAATCATTTGATACTTGTCTTTTTCCACCTGGCTTATTTCACTGAGCATAATACCCTGTAGCTCCATCCATGTTGTTGCAAATGGTAGGATTTGTTTTCTTGTTATGGCTGAATCATATTCCATTGTTTATATGTACCACATCTTCTTTATCCATTCATCTACAGATGGACTTTTAGGTTATTTCCATTTTTTGACTATTGTAAATAGTGCTGTGATAAACATAGGAGTGCATATGTCTTTTTCAAACTGGGCTCCTGCATTCTTAGGGTAAACTTCTAAGAGTGGAATTCCTGGGTCAAATGGTATTTCTATTTTTAGTTTTTTGAGGAACCTCCATACTGCTTTCTACAATGGTTGAACTAATTTACATTCACACCAGCAGTGTAGGAGGGTTCCCCTTTCTCCACATCCTCACCAACATGTGTTGTTCTTTGTCTTTTGGATGTTGGCCATCCTTACTGGTGTGAGGTGATATCTCATTGTGGTTTTAATTTCTCTGATGACTAGCAATGTGGAGCATCTTTTCATGTGTCTGTTGGCCATCTGAATTTCTTCTTTGGAGTAGTGTCTGTTCTGCTTCTCTGCCCATTTTTTAATTGGATTATTTGTTTTTGTTTGTTGAGGTGCGTGAGCTCTTTATATATTTTGGATGTCAACCCTTTATCAGATATGTTATTTATGAATGTTTTATTGATGGTGTCCTTTGCTGAACAGAAGCTTTTCAGCTTGATAATAGTCCCACTTGTTCATTTTTGCTTTTTTTTCCCCTGTTCTGGGAGATATGTACATGAAGGAGTTGCTCATGTTTATGTCCAAGAGATTTTTGCCTATGTTTTTTTCTAAGAGTCTTATGGTTTCATGAGTTACATTCAGGTTTTGTATTTACTTTTGTGTATGGGGTTAGACAATGATCCAGTTTCATTCTCTTACATGTAGCTGTCCAGTTTTGCCATCGCCAGCTGTTGAAGAGGCTGTCATTTTCATGGCTCTTTATCATTTTTAACTGACCGTATATGTTTGGGTTAATACCTGGACTCTCTATTTTGTTCCACTGGTCTGTGGCTCTGTTCTTGTGCCAGTACCAAATTGTCTTGATTACTGTGGCTTTGTAGTTAGGGCTTGAAGTTGGGAAGCGAGATGTCTCCTGCTTTATTCTTCCTTCTCAGGATTGCTTTGGCTATTCAGGGTCTTTTGTGATTCCATATGAATTTTAGAACTATTTGTTCCAGTTCGTTGAAGAAGGCTGTTGGTATTTTGATAAGGATCACATTGAATCTGTAGATTGCTTTAGGCAGGATGGTCATTTTGACAATATTAATTCTTCCTAGCCAAGAGCATGGGATGAGTTTCCATTTGTTAGTGTCCTCTTGAATTTCTCTTAAGAGTGTCTTGTAGTTTTCAGGGTATAGGTCTATCACTTCCTTTGTTAGGTTTATTCCTAGGTATTTTATTCTTTTTGGTGCAATTGTGAATGGAATTGTTTTCCTGATTTCTCTTTCTGCTAGTTCATTGTTAGTGTATAGGAAAGCAACAGATTTCTGTGTATTAATTTTGTATCCTGCAACTTTGATGAATTCAGATATTAGTTCTAGTAGTTTTGGAGTGGATTTTTTAGGGTTTTTTATGTACAATATCATGTCATCTGCAAATAGTAACAGTTTGACTTCTTTACCAATCTGGATGCCTTGTATTTCTTTGTGTTGTCTGATTGCTGTGGCTAGGACCTCCAGTACTATGTTAAATAACAGTGGGGAGAGTGGGCATCCCTGTCTTATTCCCGATCTTAGGTGAGAAGCTTTCAGCTTCTCGCTGTTAAGTAGGATGTTGGCTGTGGGTTTGTAATATATGGCCTTTATTATGTTGAGGTACTTGCCCTCTGTACCCATTTTGTTGACAGTTTTTATCATGAATGGATGTTGAATTTCCTCAAATGCTTTTTCAGCATTTGTGGAGATGACCATGTGGTTTTTGTCCTTCTTTTTGTTGATGTGGTGTATGATGTTGATGGATTTTCTAATGTTGTACCATCCTTGCATCCCTGAGATGAATCCCACTTGATCATGGTATATGATCCTCTTGATGTATTTTTGAATTTGGTTTGCTAATACTTTAAGTATTTTTGCATCTATGTTCATCAGAGATATTGGTCTGTAATTTTCTTTTTGTTGGTGTCTTTGTCTGGTTTTGGTATTAGAGTGATGCTGGCTTCGTAGAATGAGTTTGGAAGTATTCCCTCCTCTTCTATTTTTTTAGAAAACTTTAAGGAGAATGGGTATTATGTCCCACAGTATGTTTCTTAAAACCATCTATTCATATCTACTCTTTCTTCTTCTCCTGGCTGTGGTCAACCACCTGTTCTCCTGGGGTCACTGACCCCTTGGCCCAAGGTTCTCACCCTGAAAATGATGGCCCTGGTGGCCCCATGATTCTCCAGCTGCTGTTTAAGTGAGTGTGGCCTGGGGGTCATGTTATTTATCTCTACATATGATGACAAATGGCATAAATAGTGAGAACACAGTTTCAAGTGAAAGTAGAATCTCTGTGCTTCTGAGCGTAAAGAGATCTAGAGCTCTGGTTCCATCCCCTTAGTTTATGTGTGAAAACCAAGATTTCCAGAGTTTGTTTTCAAGTCAGCACTTGAGGGACTTCCCGACCCTCCACCGTACAGCACACCCACTGTGCCATACCACCTTCTCCTTTTTTTAAAAAAACTAAATGTACTTAATTCCTACTTGTCTTAAAATACATTACTGTAGCCACATGTGTGAAAGACAGGGAAGAACAATCCAAGCCAGGAAAACCCGCAGGTCGCTTCACCTTGAGCCCCGCGTCTCCATTCATCAGCCTGATTCACACCTCCCAGATGCCCCAAGGTGTGTGCAATGCAGCGCCCCCCAAACCGAGCCTTCCTCCCCCAAGCCCTCATTTCTGCGGTCCCAGGAAGCAGCCGCACCAACCATTTGTCCGTTCTGCTGGTGAGAAGGTGCCTTCACAGCTGTCTGCGCCTACACTCCCCCTGACGTCTGATGGTCACCAGTTCCTTACACCTGGCCTTCCCACCCCCTTTTTCCCCCCATGTAACCTCAGCTCGGGACCCCTCTTGGTCCAAGTGGCCTTGTGCTGCGTCCTTCTGATTGGTCTCTTGGATCTATCACGCCCCCTTCCAGCCCGTCCTCCACTTTATGTCCAGAGTGATGTTTCTAAAAAGCAGAACTGATTAGGAAACTCAGAGACCCAGAGAAGCTGAGTGACCACCCCCAGGCATCGTGCTCCCCTGTCCCTGAGCTGTGGGCCATTCCAGAGGTCAGACTGGTGACCCCAACTCCTGCAGGGCACCCTGGCACTGCTCTGGTTATCCTCAAAGGCTGCAGACGTTAGAACAAAATGAATGAATTTCATTAGCGTTCCTCGATCCCGGGGGTGTGGTTAGTCTGGGGTCAGCTGC